GATCGATCCTGCGGGCGTGAATGGCCCAAAATTTTTTTTAAACGCGATCGAACGATCGAGATCAAATTGCAATAGATAGTCAAGATTGATTTTCTCCTTAAGTGCAATCAGACGACCAAGATCAAATTGCAATGGACGATCCAAATTCATTTGCTCATTAGGTACGATTGGACGGACGAGATCAATCGCGATGGACGGCCTAGATCAACGCGGAATTGATATAAATACCTCGTATTATACAGGAATTCAAATCCTAGCTGTCAGTCCCCGTCGGGGAAGAAAACCCAGACACCAAAGAAGAAGGCTGACTGCCGACTGCGAAAAAAGTTAAAATTTCTCATACCCGCTTGGAATTCAATTTTGAGCACCTCTGTGGCCAAATCGAAGCAAAAGAGACGGCGAGTGATTCGAAAACCACGTGCGAAGCCCGCGGAGCTACCTAGCCAAAATCTCAAAACTTCTCCGATGAACCCCTTCCTAATTCCAGTTTCACGCAATTTTTTGATTATTGTGTTTAACGTACTTTTTTGCGCAAGTTGGCCAAATAAATATCCTCAACCGCGAAGGAGGGCCAGCGGAGTCGCTGGACCTGGAGGTCTCCCCTGCCGTTAGGCTCAATGTTTTGTAATTTTTCGATCAGTCGAGACCCCTAATATATTTTTTTACAAGAATACAGCCAAAATTAGCCAAAAACTGGTCAGGCTTAGGTAAACCGCAGCTGTGCCAGAATTCCAAAAGTGGTCAGAATGAGTTTTGGACACCAATTTTGAATTTCTGAAATATTTTTTAGTATGCAACAAGTATTTTGGATTCTGTAGAAAAAATTCAGGAAATTCAATAATCGTTGAGACGTAGTAGGCGGCATGACATCTTGAAACACCGATTCAAATAAGGATCCATTACTCTATTCTGCATTACAGTAAATTGAGGCTTAATAATAGATAATTGTGTGTTTTGTAAAAAATTAAAAAATTTTAAAAATAATTGCAGGTTACTAGTAAAGGCAAGATCGGTTAATTCACATTTATCTTAATTTCCTGTTGATTTCTATTTACTGCCTAAATTGCTCATTATTGCACTATGCATGCTTAATAGTTTGTATAGTCTTCAAGATTATATGGGTTAATTGGTTCCTTCTTTCATGGTTTATCTGGTTATCTGATTTCTCGATTATTGGTTATGATAAGTTTATTCGCTTGCTTAAATACAAATTTATTAACATGTGAATATAAAATGATATATTGGTATTGCGTGGTTGATTATTATATTGATAAAAATCTTAATGTGAATGATTTACTGGGTACCCAGGAGATGACAGATGGGTCTAGTACATAAGAACCCTACCGTGAATGTTATTTCAGTCAGACGGGACTCAGAAGTCCCTTACCAGTAAGGTTTATGAGATATGGTTCACCCTTATACCAGACAGGGTATCGAGATGGTGGAATGTTTGGCGCCTATTACCGGATAGGGTATGAGAACGATTGATTAATTGTTTAATTAGATATTGGGTTCACGAGTAGGGAGACATCCATATGGATCCTCAGGGGTACCGGTAAGCGAATAAAAAATAAAAAGTGATCGTCTTTTGTTATCTTATATGTGAAAATAAAAAGTATATGAATATGAGTCTTCATAAATTGTTTTTAGAAAGAACTTGTTACGGAAACACGTAATAAATGTCTTTCTTTATATTAAATGAATTTACATTAAATTAATTACTCTATTAGTTATTTTTCTAATTTTTTACAAATATTCAGTTTTTCGTATCTGTGATCAGTGTGATATTCTTATTAAGTTAATGTAACTCATTTTTTTATTAACTATGTTATATCAAGATAACAAAGATCCAGATCCCGATCAATAAGAGAGTTATGAGCAAGTCACCACCCAAACTCCCTTCAAGAGCTAGTTAATGTCGTTTTAGAATGCTTAATTATTTGTTTTTCGTTTATTTCGTTAATTTTTGTTTGTTATTTTAGAATGGACATTCTCATATCCTTATTGTAAAGTCTAAATTATTGTGTAAGGAATATAAACTCTAATTTTATTATTCGCTTCCGCATTTAATTTATGAATTTATTTCTATTTAAATTCCGAACTTTTACATATACTACTACAAATTACGATATATAATAAAATTTGACAAATATTACTGTATTTTTTACTTATCTTAAATAGTTGATTATAAGTGATTATTTTAATTTAATCCTAATAAAATATACTTTTTTGATATATCATTTATGTTTTCTTTGTAACTTCAACTACTTCGAAATATTAATATTTCATAATTTTATTATATTTCATTATTTATCATAAATTTAATTATCAAACATTATTAGTGGATTAATCGTACGCTGCTACCGCCCCCATCTGCCACCTGCTACCATTGGTTACTCACCAGTTGCCTCCTCCAATCCCGGCCGCATTTTTATAGTCTATGCCGATCACTGCCTGCTGCCCTTTCATTATCAAAGTTTTAATTATTATTAAAATTAAAAATTAATTAATTAATTTTTAAAAAATAATTATAAAAACAATATTTTAATTTTAATTTTTTAACTACATCTATTATATATACCAAACACAAAATTTGTATGTTCACTTATTCTCTTTTTATACAATTTTCAGTAATTTTAATATCAACAATTATAGATTATGATTTTTAAATTACAACACTTTCTATAATTATTTTTTTTAAATACTTATCAGTTTATAACTAAAAATACTTTTACTCAAAAATTATATATATTATATGTGTACCTATTACGTTATGTATGATATAATATTGCGGGTGTGTATATTAATACACCAGACATAATTTATACTTCGATTTATTTTATTTATTTAATAATTTTAACATTAATAATTATTTTAACTAAGTACTCATCTTTTTATTTTTTAAAGTGACAACACTTTGTACAAATTATTTTTATTAAAATTTTAACAATTTCTTATTAAAAGTGCTATTACTCTTATAGTTATTTTAATAGTATTTTTGAGTTTAATGTAAAAGTTACAATCAATGTAACCACACTATCAATAATATATTTATAATAAAATACTATAAGGTACTAAAAGAAATTATAGTAAGATTTATCAATAATTTAGCGATAGTCCTACTTATGAGTCACTAACACGTAAATGAAAAATATACTCGTTTTTTAACAGTATCATCCATAGTAGTTTGACAAAATTAAAAATTATGTCATATTTATTTGGTAGTAATTTCATTAAATTTTTACGGCCAACACATGAATAATAGTTAAGATATTAGCACTTTATTTAAAGATAACAAGTTTAAATTTCACAAAATGATGTAGAGTTTGTCAGTCTGTTGTAGCTAACCTAGGACTAATTATAAATTAGTGGTAACTAACCTATAATGCTTAATTAAACGAGATTAGTAACTATTTATTAGTGTATTAATGAAGTTATGCGAATTAAATTAGATTTAGTTATAAAGAGTTAGAACATATCGGAGAAACAAAAATGTTACGTGACAATTAAATTCATTAATTATAAATAGATGAAAATTAATCATAATTTTTTTTTAATTAAAAAAAGTTCATTACATTCTCTTTCTCAATGAACAATACATAAATTTTATTGTAGAATATGATTTAATTTTTCAAAAAACATCATCACTAGGTTATGAAATTAAGAAGTTGAAAAATATTGTGATGCAAGACGACAAAAAAGGAAAAAAGGAAACTAATTCTCATAGAGTTGACTATCTCATTATTTTCATGGACTTAGATTTGAAAAGTTTAGGATTGATGAAGTATTAATTTGAATATATCACACGACTTTCTTTCCCATTTTCCATCATACACCCTACACATATATATATGTATATATGTCTATAGACAATATATATATATATAGACACACACACACCCCAAATGGTACAATTATAAACTTAAATATCCATGTATGATTCCAAACAAGGTCACAAACACAAAATTTAGAGGGGAATATCAAAATTAGACTTTCAAATATTCTACAAAAATATAAGTTGATTTAAGTAGTAAAGCTTGTTATACGATTATATTATATGCATATACATATATATACACACACACACACAAAAAAAAAACATATATAGAGATAAAATAGAGAGGAGAATTTCCTCATAATGACAGAGAAAAATTACTAGATTTAATTATTTAATATGTAGAAATTAATTAAATATATATATCCCATGCATAATTATATTATTTTGCTAATATTTTCGCATTTTCATTTGTTAAATAAAAAAAAATGTATAAATTAGTTAATTTTATTTTCATTGCGTCTAACTAAATTTTTTTAGTTTATTATACCAAAATTTAGTTGTGCATGTTTGCGTGTTATATAATTTAATTTATTTTTTTTAAAAAAAAACAGTATTCTAAATACAAATTTATGTCAATGATATTTGCAAAATTATTTATTTCAAGCCCGAGATATAATGTGGTAACTAGTCAACGATTTGTGTTGACTCAGCTGTCACCTCGCCGGCTCATCACCGTTCACCAATCATCATCACGTAACTAAATAGCAAGAGTAAATCATCTTAGCCACTAACCAATTCCATCATGATGGACTATGGAGGGTCTCCATCGTCTGATCATCTGACAACATGTCCAGTCAATCGCGAGTGTGGACCCCACAAGCCTGTATTACCTTTTTGCGCTTTCACATTAGTGGGCCACCACAGAACAGAACCCAGTGCGACAGTGTCTGTTCGTACTCCTTTCCATCTCTCTCTCTCTCTCTCTCTCTCTCTCTCTCTCTCAAAATAAACGGCAATGCTTAGCGTAGACCCCATGTCGTTTTCTTCAAAAATTTATGAAATGCAAACGACGTTGTTTTGGCTAAATTTTGATTTGAATATGCATCCTGTCGGTGGGCCTTGTGCTTTTCAAATTTCACAGTTCCCAAACCTATCTTTAGGTATTTTCTTCTCATTTCATGGGTCCCCTTGGCTCGCAGAACATGGTAAATCACCCCCATTTTTATACGCTGTGTGTTCATGTAGAGTACCCCCCATATGAAATTATCTGCTTTGAACACCTTGTACTCTTGAGTTTTTTTTCTTCTTTTAAAGCGAAGAAAACTACTTTTTCTTGAATTGGGTACAAGGTACAATCCTTTTGTTGTAATTGTAATGTGTGCATACATACAGATGAACTTTTTACCTCACCAATGGCTTCCACCGTAGTATAGAAAAAGTACAGATGAAGCCTAGGCATAAAATGCTCTTGCTCATAATCTGCATAGAGAGAAGGTAGGAGAGAAACTTAGTTAAGGGTGGATAGGTGTTTAGGATGAGAGTTCTTGACCTTAACTTCTATACAATGGAGATGTTGATGATGGTGTATGTCTTTCAGGTTTTCTTCCTCTGTTTTCTGGGTCTCACTGGTAAGCAACGCCCATACTATTTTCATGGAAGTTCTTGTTTTACGGTCTCCCATTTTTCTTCTAATAGATAGTTGCAAATGCTAAGCAACAATGGGCCATGAAAATGAAGTTTTTGTTTTGAGTTTCCATGCTTCTTTTTCTTAGCAGGTGCAGGTCAAGAATCTTTCGAGCTTCTTACTCTTTACGACACAAACTCAGACATGCTTCAACCACGGTCTTCCGGCTCTTATCGTCGTCCAATCGCCGTTTCATTGGATGATAAAAATCTTCGAGAGGTCTCCACCAGTGTTTTAATGGCTGAAACTTGGCTCAGAAACTACGTTCTGGCTCACTACCCTTCTTCCAAAATCACCACCATTGTCGCGAGTCACAGCCTTCTCTGCCATAATGACCAAGAAAACAACTTAGGTCTGGTTCTAACGTCGTTGAAGAACCTTTACCATTCTCTTACAAGGTGGGGATTGGAGAAAGATATCAAGGTCTCTGTAAATTTCTCTTTTGATTGTTTAAATCCAAACTCTGTTTTCTTCAAAGATGAATTTGCAGGGAACGTTGTCAAATCTCTGTTACAGTTTCTCCAGAGCGTAAACTCAACTTTCTCCGTGCACCCACTGGATAAGTTTCTCCCTTTATCGGAGGAGAATGTACGTTTGTTGTCTTCTCGCTTGGTTTCCATGAAAAAGCTTGGATCTTTCAACAACGTAAATGTGATAATCGCCGAAGAAAATCACGCAGAGAAAAGGCTCGAGAGTAGGAAGCTTTCTTTCATGGAAACCAAGCTTGTAGACCCATACCTAGCTAGACCAAGTCCATTACCCGAAATCTCTCCTCTTCATTCCTCCATTGGCTTTTCTGCTCCGGCCAATATCGCCAAAAACCCACACGGGGCCCCAATTCCCCAACCGCCGCTCTCTTTCCCTCTTGTTTCTCCACCGCCGATGTTCATTCCCCCAGCAGATTCTCCTTACAGCTTCTCATTGCCTCCTTGTAACCCCGTGGACTCGCCGGCGCCGGCGCCGGCGGTGGCGGAGATAGTGCAGAGGCTATGGTGCGTGGCGAAACCAAGCGTTCCGGCGGAAAGGTTGCAGGAGGGATTAGATTATGCATGCGGCTATGAAGGGGTTGATTGCGAAGGGATAAAGCCGGAAGGCAAGTGTTTCTACCCAGATACACTTGTTGCTCATGCGTCATATGCTTTCAATAGCTACTGGCAGAAGACGAAGAGACATGGAGGCACTTGTAGTTTTGGAGGAACCGCCATGATTATCAATGCTGACCCAAGTAAGTTTTTTTGCTTCATTAATTAATTTATTTTTAAAAAGTATAATTATAATGGGTTTGTTGTATATTTTGAACAGGTTATCTTGAGTGTCGGTTTGTTCTGAGGTGAGGGTGGTAATGGAGAATATTGTTGTTCGGGATGTTTTGGTAGAGAGTCGGACCGCGGTGGGGTCTGATTGAAAGATGAAGTTGTCTGCTTTTCTCCGAATACAAATATTCGTTGCGAGTACCAAGTAGAAAATTTACTGTTCTTTTTTACTTTTTTGGAATATTTTAACCGTTGTAGGTAAGTGGGTGAGTAATTTTATGCAAAAAAAGGAACAACTCTTTTGACTCGTATGACTAATCAAGATAAAATTTTGTGCCTCTTTTGCTTTAACCCACTAGGATTTTCTTTTTATGACTAAAACCGGCTGCAAATTCTTCTTATCCTAACATTATTGTGTGAATTTTATCAGTTTATATATTTTTAAAAATATTATTCTAAATAGCTTGGAAATTTATTATTATGGTCTTTAAAAGTTACAAACATCATGAATTTATGTAAACTTGCAAAAGATTTAACTGTTCTAATATTATGTATGGGTAACGCAACTGTCTGTGCATCTACAAACTCTAAAATTCAATGTAACATTATTTTAAAATTATAATAATTGTAAGCTATTGTTCGTAGTCTAAGCAATGAACTTTTTTTTTTTTATATATATAAAATTTTTAACTTATCATAAGTTTACTACCATGGTATAATTCTCATAAATTTAGATTAAAAAAAATATTACCCCAATGAACTCGGGAATTGTAAGTTACTGTCTCTTAAAATTCTAAAAATGGTGATCAATCTATCTTCTAGCCTATGCTAAGAGGTTTAACTCAGTTTATACAACCTACTTCCTGGCTGTGTGTACCGCTTGACCGTTATTAACCAACCAGCTAACAACCACCTTCTCTTACAACTAACATTTCTTGTAATAAGAAACCAATACCAGTTTATCCTTGCCTGGACTTAACCCCTTTCACATACCATCTCTTGTAAGTTATAAATACCATCTCTTTCACTTGTAAGTTACATGCATCAACTTCCTGCAAATAAAACATTGTATTGAGACTGTAGTTATAAAAAATATATTATAAAACGACCATGCAATTCAGAAACTCGGAAAGACCCGATATCTTCAGCTTTGGTCTTTGTTATTGGCAACTACCAGAGGCGTCATCAGGTGCAGTTTCACCATCATCTGAAACCTTATGACCTTCTCCCTTCTGCAACAGAAGGTAATTTAGAAAACAAAAAGAAAACAGAACAGTAAAATGTTGCAAAGTTCAGAAAGTAGGGTGACCAAGATATGCATACAAGTCACTATAGGGCAAAATGAAAAGGAGATAACTTTATTATTATTTTTTCGAGTACCCACTATAGGGGTGTTACAATGGTGGCTCTATTGCATGATATGTCTTTATCTCTAAACTTTTAACACGGTTAGTAATTTAGCAGATGTCACAAACCAGCCTAGTAGCAGGAAATTTATTTCAGCATATTCGGTTTCCTGTTATTAATTTAGCAGTAAGAGAATATCCAGTACAAGGACAAATGAGCCAGCTGTCATTACACCTGGTACCTAGTATGTTATTTTTTTTTTAAACTCTCTGGTACAGCAGTATATAGTACCTAGATTCTAAAAGAATTATCAAGAAAATATCTAAGAAAACCCATCTTTCCTCTCTAAAATTATTCTTCTATCCTCTCAGCTTTTCTCGTTCTCCTATCTTTTCTTCCTCTGCTGATCTCTCTTTTCTGCCTCCTCCAACCCTAAAATCTCCTCAAAATCTAAATCAAAATTTGTTTCCCAGTTGTTGTTGGACCACCAGGTTCTATTCTCTACTTCTGTTCTCTGTTCCCTTTCTCTATTTCCCTCTCTTCTCAAGTCCACAACCAGGTTCTTGACAGCAGATTAAACCTACTGTACAGTAATTTGGTTATATTTTATAATACTGGTTTTTTACTACACAACATCACCAAATTATTATACCGTGTACAGAATTATTGCCAAAAAAAAAAAAAAGGGAGAGTTGACATCTGAAGCACCATAGATTCCCCAGCCCCCAATACGAGAACCCAATATGGTTTGGCCTGACAAGAGGAGTTTGCTCTCCAAAGTTAACCACGGAGGGGTTATTCAAGCCATAATACCAAGTCTTTAGGCTTTCGTAATTGTGGCAAATTGCTTGATCCCTATTGTGATCCATCAGACCCGTTGGTTGAAACATCATATACAAGTGTATGTGTGTATAAGTACCTTCTTTTTTTTTTAAATAAGTGTATAAGTACCTTCTTAACAAGAGAATTGCTCCTCTCCAAAAGCTAATGCTAGTAGAAAAAGTAAAGATACCAGCCAGCCACTGCTCTATGTATGTGTGTGTATAAGTACCTTCATAACAAGGGAATTGCTCCTCTCCTAGAGCTAATGCTAGTAGCAAAAGCAAAGATAGTAGCCAGCCAATGGTCTATGTGTGCGTGTATATGTCCCTTCTTAACAAGAGAATTGCTCCTCTCCTAAAGCTAATGCTAGTAGCCAAAGCAAAGATAGGAGCCAGCCATTGCTCTCTCTTACTATATATGGCATAACTTACAAATAAGGCAATATTGTACTCTAAAATTGCTTCTAGAAATTTATAGGAACCCTCGTCCTCCCACTTCTATCCCTTGTACCGTATTTCCAGTTTATATGCACATTTTGAGATCATTATAACCAGAAATTGACAACTTTGAAGCATCAACAGCTGATAGAAGGTGAGACATAATTTTAAAGAGAATATATAATCCTTCAAGTTAACCCTTCATCTTTAATATATATAAGTCCAATGGACCTAAAGAAAACCTAAAATGCTCCATCAACCTCTAGACCAAGTTAAAAAATCAAATGAAATATCATTATTAGTGAGAATAAATGCAACCCTCTTTCAATTCTCTTTTTCCTTTCCCTTTAACACCCCTTACACCATGCTTAAAACCATAGAGTTCCATAAGTACTAAAATTATCAGTATACTAGAGTAAGCTTCACTAAAATCACAAAGTAGCTCACACGTGATCAAGTCATAAATGAAGGTTTTTCAGAACTAATCACTAACAGTTTCAATCATGATAACGTAGACAATAATGACATTGAATGTAAGAGAGAAACGACAGATGTCTTTCGAGAATATTTTTACTTGTGTCCTTTGGGTTTGCTTAAACTTAATCATAACAACTAGATAATTTGCAGTAATATAAAAAATAGACCAAACTTTTGGCTTCTTTAAATCCTTTGTACTGCCTTTGATTAATTGAACACGATAATAATTAGAGGATTGTAAGTCTAGGAACTAAGTTATGAAGAAATAAAAGTCAGATGAAGACAAACCTTTTTACTAAGACCTTGGGCAGTCATAAGCTCATAAAACTTACGCATAAGCATTGCCTCTTCTACCTATAAATCAGATATTAAAAAAAATGAAGTTATCAGTTGCATAAAAATGATACAAGTTTCACTCACTATGAACTCGATTTTCATGCTCTTATCATTTGAAATATTGCATAGGTACTAGTTGCTCCACAAGATTCAACTTTAACTATCATATCCATCACTAGATAAGCCACTACTAAACATCAGCAGAAATTTTGGTGTTTCTCTTCATTCAGCTTTATTTACGAGTTTTCTACCTAATTATCATTCATGTTCACTTGTTCATTCCTCCTCAAAGCATTTACAAAGGTGATATGTATGATAGTCAGGAATTTTAAAATTCATACATGACCAGTGACCTAACCACAACCAGATAAAAGAATAAAGAGAAAAACCTGAAGTCTATGCAGTTCATGTGACATTGAATTATGGGCTTCCCTAAGCAACTCACTCTGCATCTCCAAATGCCTGCAAACATAGAAATCAAAATTAGGGCAATATAATTCCACCAGAGAGCTCTATAATAAATGAGAATCTGTCTCGATACCCTACTTCAGTATGTCTCCAGTGTGTCGTGGATCCATCTATGATTTTTGGTTGTGTCAATATGCAAAGATTAAAAATAGATGTCGCTCACCACCAATGAGAATTTCAGAAAATCAAAGCTGCATTGGAATCAAAAGATATTAGATTGGTGTCTATAAGTGGATGCCACAGAAAAAAAATAATGTATCTTTCAACAAATCAACCATGAGAAATTTATAGTGCGACATGATACACTGGATAAACAAGAAGATCCTAAAATTTAGAAAATCATTACAAAATAAAGTGGCAGAAATAATCTGAAGATGAAAACACAGAAAAAAAAAATACACTACTCATATATATATATATATGAATCAAGTTTTAAAAAAGATCGACACTCCTAAAATCGTCACCCTCAAATCCTCTATTACTTACCCATCAACCAGATATTTATAGAAAATGATATTTTGCTCAATTTCTTGCAAGTGATGCAATTCTAAAATAGACATCACGCAAATAAATACCACTTCCACTTAGTAAGCAGCCACCTCTTGTAATCATCACTTAAGTCCATTCAACTTGTACCTCAAGATCTATCTCCAGGAACTATCATCACTAGGATACCACTTCCATATGATTAACAACTGAATTCCAAACACGTATGCCTTCCCCGTACCAATCTAAGCTTTTCTTAGACTCTACCTCAAGAACAGACCCCTAAGTTTGAGATCATACAGAGTCTTAGGGAATTCCCGGAAACACACAGCAAAAGCAATGCCACTGAAACTCTTATTACCGGAAGAGGACCATACTAAAATCACCACCAGGACAGCCTATTCCAATTCTGTCTGACAAGGTTAAGGTCATTCCACATCCTCACCCCCGCCATAGACATTGGTGAAGATCCAGCACAAGTTTGAGCCCCTAAGAAGGAGCTCACAAGAAATAGATACTGTTATGCTGATGCTTCTGGCATACTACATTTTACTATCTTACAAAAAAAAAAATCAAAATACCAATAGTCGTTCCTCCTGTAGAAAATCAAGTCATCTTACTTCATGCACGTCCCCATCTGCTACTCACTAGAAAATCATACATCTTCACCACTTTAGTTTCCTAACTGAGAACCTCTTTAATAATAGCTCTCTTCCCGGCATCGTTGATGCTTCTCGTATTCCAAAAAGAATACGATCAATCAAGAAGAATTGCAAATTAACCATACATTCTACTCTCTTGAGTTCTCTACTACCACTATTCTTTTTCTGCTTACCTCCTCTTTTTGCCTTACTCGAGATTCTATCTACCGAGATACGCTCCTCCGACCTTCTAAACAACTCGTACATCTGGTTTCTAACCTTTCGAAGCTAACGCCCAAAAATATCCGCTCAACCGTCTCAGATAAATCTTTCTACAAAGATTCAGCCCCTCCGTACTTCCAAGCAGGCCAGAATTCTCCAGAGAAAGATGAAGAATAGTTAGAGAGCAATCAGATGGAAAAAAAGGAGGGAGAAATAGCAAACCTGGCTTTGTTTCCAAAGATATCGATTCAGAACAGAATCACGGGGCACCAAAGCCTCAATCCCGCCAAGGCTGCTAGGCTGAACAAATTCGAAACAAACCCCTCGATCCTCCTCTTCAACGAACCACACAAGGGAGACGAAGAAGAAGAAGAACACACGTTGTCTTTTTCTTTTTTTTTTTTTTGGTCTGGGCACGGGCTCCTTGAAAACAATTCCTTCGGGGTTTGGGGAGGTTCGAAATCTTCTTCTCGTTGGGCTGGGTTGCTCCTCTTAGTATTCGCAATCCATTTTTATCAAGGAAATTAGGGCTTGGGTAGAAAACGCCCAATTCAATCCTCGGCTTAGTTAGGGGGGGTTAGCCCAACAAAACAAAAACAAGAAATGCTGCTTAAATTCAATTAAAAATAATATTATTTTAGTAATCATTTTAAAAATTTATAATTTAAACGATGCAATTAATTTCACGAGCTCAGTCTTACAATAACACTTCCAGTCATCTTCCATGGGGGCTTGAATGGTGAGTGAAGAGAATGTGTCAAGCCTGCCAATTTATTGTTAATTATATTTTTCTCAGAATTACTTATTTTTTAATTTAATAAATTATTCATTATACTCTAGAGGGACCGTCACCAACTGTTCAACTAATTTCCACCATGACTCACGCCGAACAAATACTGTTTATCAATATTAAACCATTAGAATTGCTTGGATTTCATATGAAATAATCAAAATAAATTAGATAAAATGTATTTTAAATTGAGAATAAACCATAATTTTTAAATTTTTTAAATAGTTATTTTTTTTTTATTTTTTTTGGGGGTGAGGGGTGGGGGGCAATGAAATTGGCATGAAGGCACTAGTGTTGACTTAGAAGAAACAATTAAGAGGAATGCATTAGTGTTGACTTAGAAGAAGCAGGGGAGAAGAACAGTGGTAAGTCACCACTTTCTCCACGTTCCCACATGACCGCATTTCTTCAATCACCCACAATTCACTCCTACCAACTTAATTTAGACGTGCACACATCTTAATCTCCACGCTAAACATCACTTACATACGCATATTATATATATACATATATATATAAACACTCAAGATAATACATACCCTTTTCATAGTTCAGTTTAAGTTTCTACTTTCATCTTCTCTTATTTGCTATCAATCAACTTTCATGGCTCTCGAAATGTTGAATTCTCCAACCTCAGCTCCTCCACTGCTACGCCATGATCATGACTTTGAAGAACTCCAGTATTATCTTCACGAACCATGGGCCAAGAGGAAACGAACCAAGCGTCCGCGTCTCGAAAACCCTCCTACAGAAGATGAATATTTCGCTATCTGCCTCCTCATGCTCGCTCAGGGCACCACCACTACTTCTACTACAACCACCGCCGACGACCGGTATAACTCTCATGCTGCTCCTCCGTCGCCGTCTTACAAGTGCAAGGTGTGTAACAAAGCGTTTTCGTCTTACCAAGCGCTTGGTGGGCACAAGACCAGTCACAGGAGCAAGCTCACCGGAGCTGATCATGACCAATCCTCCACCAACAACCCCGCCACTGATATTAGTACTGGTTACGGGGGTGTGTTCAAAACGACTACATTTAATCAAAGTGGGAAGATACACACCTGTTCGATTTGCTACAAGACCTTTCCCTCTGGTCAAGCCCTCGGCGGACACAAGAGATGCCATTACGATGCCACTGGTAACCAGGCGGGCGGTGGTGATTTCGATGGTGATGGGAGCTGTGGTGACGATAATTACAATCAAGTACTACTTGAAGGAGGTACTATCAAGTTTCCGAGCTCCACGAGTCAACGTGACTTTGACTTGAATTTGCCGGCTCCGGGATTCTCACCGCCCTATCTTCTTACTGACCAGGATCGGAAAGGTCAACGGTTCGAGTAAAGTTAAGCTGAGAAATCTTCGTCGGCGAGGCGGATGCCACATGGTTCATACCGTGGCTGATGATTTCAGTTTTCACGACGTAATAAGTGGGACTTTCATGTTATTATTATTTTGTCATTAAAATTTGTTTAATAAATTGTTTTTTGTTGACTACGTCAAAAATAATTATATATGTATACTTGCATTTTGCTGAGTTCCAATCTACAATCCACCGCGAGGTCCACTTGATCAGCCTCCTCCCAAAGCACCCACCAATCAAAGCTTATGATCATGATCTATTGACTAACATGGTTCGGCCACCTATCTACTCGGTCAATGGCATAATTTATTTTCTCTGGCTCCATTGAATTAAATAACAAGGTCATTATTTATTTTCAGAATTCATCTGCTATATATATATATATACATATATACATATACATACACAGTCATGGTTTGAAGCTAAAGTATAATATTTTGTCACATTTTTTTAGAAAAAATAATATTCTGTTTTTGTTTTTTCTTCCCTTCTCTAATGAACAGAATGCCGGATCTGCAGGACACACTTTATGAATGTCTCACTCGGCTGGAACGACATGGCCCGTTTCTATATGGGCTATGTTTGTGCTCTTATTTTGCATTTCTATAATATATATATATATATATATTGTTAATTTATAAGCATTTTTTAATTTTAATTATAATTATGAAAATACCATTCTATTTCACATTTACTTAATTAATAATTTGGTGACTGAGGGTTAAATTTTTTTTTTTTGACAATTTCATAACTCAAATAATTGTTATACTTTTAAATTAATAAAAATATTTTTATAACAATACAATATTGAATAATTTTTTTTAATTATATAAATAAATTATCCAAATATGTATAGGAAAATAAAAAGAAATAATTAAAATTGGGTCCATAATTAATATTGACCAACAACCAGCCCAGCCCATCAACTTTTTGATACACAAAAAACTAATATGAAATTACTGAAAGGCCCCTACCCAACTGGGAAATTGGCAGGAACTAACTACTCCAATGAATCATTAGTACTGATGCGTACATACAGAAAAGAGAAGCGGCAGCAGCAGATGATGATGGACTGACTGAGCATGTTATGTGTATGTATACGTATATGTATATGTATATATGTATATGGTGTATGTATGTATGTATGTATGTATATATATTTGGTTGTTTTTAAATGAATATGAGAGAAGCATGAAGGAGCTTCATCGGGTAATTTTCAGAACTCTTCCCTCATAATCATAAACCAGAAACGAACTTATTCAGGCAGCCAGTAAACGCCTGTCCCTTTCTCCCATATTTTTCCCCCTTCCACATTTTGTCATCATGTGCAACTAAGATTCTTACGTACAGTTTAATATTCTTTCTCTTTATAATATAAAATAATAATAATAATCGTAATTAATTTTTAAAATAATATATATTTTTATTAGTATAATTTAAAAATATATTTAAAGGAATACAAGGATTGAAAGAATATTTAAAAGCCTAATTTTGAGGACATGAACCACTATTAAGGAATCCATTAATTGACTTCTGTCAAAAAATAATTATGATTACAGCTTACCTTCTAACTGTCACATCATCTCCATAAAGAGTTGTAGTGGAATATGCATACACCTGTGCATATATATATATATATACTTGTTATCATAAAATATATTATGTATGGATAAAACCCAATTAAATTCTCTTAATTTTACTCAAATATAAAATATTTAATTTTTGAATATATAGATAAAAATATAATAATTAAATTATTAAATTTCAGTTTTTTTTTTTTTGACAAATAAAATTTTCTCTAATTATAGTAACCATAATAGTGAAATTTAAAAATCTATTTTTATTTTTTCAAAAATATTTTTTTATAATCCCCTTTCATCATTCATCTAATCACAAAGAATTTTTTTAACTTTTTTTAAAAAAGTATTATTTAAATATTTTTAAAAATTTATGTGATGGTTAATTTTTTTAATTAAAATTTTGATTTGATATTTTTATTAAAAAATAACATTAATCTTTGTATCTTTTTATTATTTAAATAAATTATTAAGAGTTTTGAGATAAAAAAAACTATAAAATTATAAAAGCTGAATGTGTTAATTTTATGGTAACAAAAATATTTTCATAATCGCTCCCAAGGGCATGTTGGGGCATGATTAGCCAAAGGCATATAGTTCATAATACAATGTATTAGTTCGGTAATTTGTTTATTAATATTTGTAATCATAATTAAGATCAATATAGTTACCATAATCATTATTCATTACGTACTTGGTATATACAATGTACATACACTAATCTTTAATATTAATAAATAATTGTATAAATTCAATAAAAGTCAATATTTAATTGAGATTTAAATATATTTAATTTAATGCAAGAAAAATTAAATCACAAAGATGATTAATTTATGACTAAACTTATTTAACACTTAGACATCGATAATAATATAATTAATGATACAATTATATATATATACACATATATATTTTAATAAAGATGTGTACGTAAGATGCATGTATAGAAAAGTCTTGGGTTGAAGGCAAATGAGACATTGAGAATCACGGTGGGTTCGTGGTCCTCACACACACACAATCAGTATTTTGGTTGATTCCCAATGAGAACTGCAACGTGAGAATCTGAGGCCATGTGCTTGCTATAATTACCCAAGAGTCACAGTCATTTTTAAAAACTTAATTAATAAAAATTAATTATTTGATGACAACTTAAATGTGTTGTAGCTACAAAAATAAAATTACATATTCTATATAACAAATGAATATTTATATTTGAAAGTTATATTTTATTTAATTAAAAACCGATAAAAATTTTGTAAAAATTTTTAGTATAAAATTGACGCTTTATAATTTTAAATAAAATATATGTATATTTTAAACTTCTCAAAAAATGCATAAAATCTAAATATAAATTTATAAACACTTTTATGAATTAAAATAATTTTGTAAGTAAAAATATAAAAATATAGCTATAATATGATCAATAATTTATGAATACAAATAATAAATTATCTTTGACATATATTGTGTGTGTAATTCCCCTCCCATTGAATTCATGAAATCTCCATTCGAGCTGTAAAGATAAAATTTATGATAATGAAAAAACTAGTAAGTAGATGATGTGGGACAATTAGATCCTTCAAGTAGCAAATTCACATGGGCATGGGACAAATTAAGGTCACATAGGCCAAACACTAAGTGACATCCACCAAATATTATCTCATTTTTAATGGACATATACCCTACAAAAACTACAAAGGCCACAACTAATTATCATTATTTTAATTGAATAATCTATTTTTAATAATTTAATCGAGTTTAATTTATATTTAATTTTTCTTATCCATTGCTAAATATATTTGAAAAAAAAAATACTTTTTTTTCATAAAAATTAATTTTTAAATTAAATATATTTTATATGATAAGTTAATGTCTATAACAATATAAATAAATATAATAGTTTAAATTCATATAAAAACTTGATAAATATTATATGGGTAAGTAATTAAAAGTAAGTACTCAAATTTCAAACGTATATAAAATAACATAATATATATATATATATTATTATAGTGGTTTAATAATTAGTGATTGACTATATCATAAGAAAATAAAAATATATTTGTGTTACCAAACAAATAAATACTAACAAAAATATTTCCCATCGGATTCCGACCGGTTCTTGTGGATAGGATCTTTCCAAAGATTGTGCCTCAAATATTAACACCCAAAATTTCTTCAACCATAATCTTCTTACATAGATTCCACACATATGCTTAGAATTGCATGCACGAATAATGAGACTCTTAATGCAAAAGTATGATTAAATAAATAATTAATCAATATTTTAAGAAGATTAATAAAAATTAATTAGCATTATCATGGGGACGTGTTTATAAAAATGTTAGTTTAATTTGAATTAACATTGGGTGGTGTTGTCGATTGGAGCATTGCATGTGAGAATAAAAAAAGATAGGATAAGAGACAAAGGGGGTTGTGGTCACACTTAGTCCACTCGGATCGTTAATTTGGGATTGGATTAGTAATTAATAAATTAATCTTTAATTACTTTAATTTAATAAAATTTAATATATAAATTTGTTTGAAATAATTTAAAAAAAAAATTAGCAACCCAAAAACGTAATTATGAGGAAAGATGACTAAAATAATAATATAAAATAAATCACATGATTGTAATGAACGTAGGGCTACTAATACATTACATTAGACTGTCAAGGTACATTCCACTTTTTTCACTAATATACATATATCTATATTTCATACACACACACACGCATACATATATATATATATATATATATGTACACATCACATTCTTAAGATTCATTGAACCCTCATAATCCAAATAATTAATCTCGTGATTTTCCAAGCATTATTAAATTCACATGGAACTAAATATTTTGAACTATCAATTAGCTTGTTGACGCTTAATTCCGATAATTTTAAAGTTTTATATAATAAATACAATAATATAATACAAGTTAATGAGAATTTAAATAAAAATAATATTAGTTATACGTCGAATTCAAATTATGTATTATTACAAATCACTATTTACAGATAAAGATATAAATTTATTATTTTATAAATATTTAAAAAAATGCAAAAAAAATAGAGAAAAGAAAGGTGTAGCCAACTTCTAAGTTCCGAGCAGGACGCTATCACTAATCCATGTGCTGTTCAGAATCTGCCGAATCATGTATGGCTTTTTTTGTGTTTTTGATGAATATATAAATGTATTTAAATAAATGGAAGCAATGAAAAATAAATATAATGGAGAAGAAGAAAACAATGGAGACGAAGATGAAAAATAAATATAAAATTAAATCGATAAAAAGAAAATGAGATGGAGGCCATTATTATCGAAGTACGAGAAGGGGGAATGGGTGTGGATTGGTCGTTTTCTGGTACAAAGGGGGCTGCTCTCTTCTCTTTCACCAACACACCAAGACGAAGGTAAAGTCAGTTTGTATTTCATAAAGGGAGCACCAAAGTCGCGCCTGTCAGAAATGGCGTGCATTATATTGTAGCAGACATTCAGAAAGACTGAGAAAGAGAAGGTAAGCACCAATACAAATATGCTTCTAGAGTGAGTAACTCTGGCTACTGCTCGCCATAGCTGGATGGGTCGTGTTAGTGGTGGGGGCCTCATGGTGTTTCTCATTGCATAGACATTATAGATCATATGCCCATTTCACTTTTTTTTTTTTTTTTTATAAAAAAACTCTGCTTTGGAGCTGGAGGTAGAGAAAAAAGCTTCGCTTTTGGAGTGAAAAATACCGCTTGGGTTTTGGTTACTGGAAGTTTTGGGCTTCTCTTAATTGGGAGGTGAAAATTTGTACATGAGGTGTTCGTAGAAAGGACGTCTAGTTCTGGTGGTGGTGGGGACGATGGTGCTGATTCAAAGGAGATATTATATATATATATATATAGATAGATAGAGAGAGAGAGGGGGAACATTCTGAGGTTTGGCTTTATCTATTTGTAGCTGTGGTGGCTGTCAAAAGATGAGGAACAGCTCATATTTTTGATGGGTTGGTCTTTTGGTTTTTTGGGTTGTTTTTGTGCTTTGTGGGGTTTCTTGGATTTTGGGTTTATTCGATCCACTGTAGAGATAGTGCTCATGCACTGAACGATATCAATAACATTGTGTTGCTTTGTGTCCATTGGATATGGATATTTGATTCTTCGTACTCTGCAAAGTGATAGCAAAGGAGGAGTTGCTTTGGGGCATATCCTGCAAGAGATGATATTTGCTAACATGTATTAGAGTTCCCCTCACCTTTATCTTGAGGTTTTTACCCATCAATATGGTTGCCTCTGTTTATTTGCCTTTAGATTGCTTTAATACATTCTCTTAAAGATAAGGCGTGCTTGGTTCCTGTTTTTCTTTTTGAGAGAATGGTCTGCCAGGATTTAGATCCTTATCTTTGATGATTTTTTTCATCAAATATTGTTTGCTTTGCTTAATCTTTGAAGTCTCTAGGTTTCTATCTTTCAGGCTTTTTGTTCATATTTTGTTGCTTTTATTATATTCTGTGCCCGGGTTGGGTTCCACTTGACAGTACTCTATTTAAAGGTAATCTTGTTCTTGTGATGATGCCATTTTTGTTGTTTGGTATTTTCCAAATTCTTGCATTTGGTGCATAAATGACAGACTTTACATGTATTTTATTGTGTTTTCCGAGAAGAGAATGAAATCTTGTGATGGGGATTTTGACGCTTATCAAATTAAGAACATGCGGGTGTTGTTGAATTGATTCCTGTGTCACATTCTTGCATAGTAATTCCTGATTAGATATTTTGTTTTCTGAAACAATTTTGTTGCTAGTGATGTTTACTTGTTCCTTTTGTTTAACCTTCCTTTAGAAAACTCCAAACTTCGATGCTTCTTGTCCACTGATTTTGTGGTTCATTTAGCTCATACCGAGAAATGCTGTTTCTTTGTGCCAGGCGTTTTAGCTTCGACGGAGCAAGCGTGAAAGAAGATTTTGTAAAAAGGGTTACGTGGATTCAGAATTTTGGCTTTTGAGTCTTAGCGGACTGGAAACAAAGTCTTCTTGGTAGTGTGTGTAAAGTCCATTGGAAAAAGAAAACAAGGAAACAGAGAATACATAAAGAAATAGGTGCAGGGCGGTGGTGTCAGTTTTGAGCAAGTGGGTGTGTCTTTGGTTTTGAGAATTATTTTTGTTTGAGGAGAGAGAATGCAAGAACATTGTCTCCTTAACTCAGTCTTTTTGCCCGGAGTTCTTGGTTTCTGTTACTAAGTGAGGAAGCAGAAATTGTTAAAAATCACATTACCTCCATTTACTTCCTATCCCTTATTTTTCTTTTGGCATCGGCTTGTGAGAAAGATTCGGTCGTACTAAGAAAATCATCTAATCTTTCCTTCAATCCATATTTTAATTGCATCAATTACCGCTACACCAGAATATCGGTAACTTTCAGGAATTAGATTTCATTTTGTGGAGATCTAATCGAGAAATCTGCTGGTATTTTAGTTTTTGTGGTGGTAAGTTTTGTGGAGTTGATTTGATTTAAGAGTGAAATTTTGCGGGGAAGAAAATTCAGGAAGTGATCATTCTTTTGGCAATATGAAGTTTATGAAGCTTGGATCCAAACCTGATTCATTTCAGTCTGATGGGGAACATATTAGGTGAGTTCATGGATTTTCTTTTTGAACTAACTATTGTCAACACAACCACATACATATATATTGTTGGTGAAAGTATATCATATGGTTTACTCTAACTCTGTTTTTTTATTTAATCTTTCCAATTAGTTTTCTTATGGATGCCTGGCTTTTCTTGTGATAAGACTCTTCCTCCGCGTATTTTACTTTTTTGGGCTTTTCATTTAATCCATAATACCAAGATTGCACTATGGTTTTTGAAAAGCCATGATCTTTTCTAATCTTATGAGCTAGCTTGGTTTTATCACCATATGAAGATTGCAGAGTTGTTCCTGGTTTATCTGTGCCTATAAGTACAAAATTAGTTGGCAAGTAAGGCGTTGACCTCTGAAGCAACTGCCAAAAGACATAATGAAAAAAGATATCTTCATTATCTCCACATTGGAATTTGTATTGGAAACCATTAATTATTTCTCAACTGAATGTCTATTTGGTGCTTATTCAACTTGCTGATTTCCCAACAGTTATTTCTGTCTTGATTTAATAAACCATATTATCCCTGTCCTAAGAATTTGGAGGAGATAATTCCTAACTGCAAATTTGGAACAGTATGGTAACCTTGTCCATGCATTTGTCGGAGAGGTTGTGATCATTTGGCTTCGAGCCCTGGTATGCAATAGGTTTTTGCACACTATTCTTCTCAATTAATGGGACTCGTCTTCCATGAAACTTTCACTATGCTTGTATTCTGTTATTCTCCTGTTGTTTTTCCCTGGATTCTGTATAAAAGCCTGCTATAATTAGCACAAACATCTTTTTGCAATAGAATGGTGCTATATCCAATCAGTTAAATATTTGTACTATAGTTTCAAAAGTCTAAAAGCTTGCTCTAACAATCTTTTTCACTAAATATCCTTTCATTTTTTTATCGGCCCCAAAGGCCTTTGTAAGGAGTCGAACCCTCACTCTCTTAGTAAAGAGTGGAGGACATAATCAACTCAGCTATATTCTTTCATTTTCTTGTCCTGCAAGTGCCTCCTTCCAGTTCAATTAAGTAATTGTTTTCCACTTGAGTTTTCATTAACGTGATGGAAGGAATATTTGTCTCAGGTATGTAGCAACTGAGTTGGCAACCGATGTAGTTGTAAATGTTGGGGATGTGAAATTCTATCTGCATAAGGTATGAATCTTATAATTGTATGATCTTCAACTGGATGGAATATCTCCTTGACTAACTTGGCATATGATTCCATTAATATGAATATTAATCCATTATTGCATTAAATGGTTATCTAGTAACATTTTCCTGTTGTTAATCAAGGTGTGTCAACTAAGGAATGCTGTCATGAGAATCATGTTCTCATACAAGTCACAAACAGGGACTAAGCATAGCTTCTAAAATTCCATTCCTCTTGAACCAAACTAGTTAAGAACAGCTAACTCTTTTGAGTTTCTGCTACTTGGCTGACTTAGTTGACCAGGCAAACAATTTGCATTGTTGACCTACCTTTTATTTGGTAGAGATTGCAATTTGAACCCACAAACAGTTATTCACCGAGAGGCACTTTTGCCGCTGAAGCCAATGGCCCTAGGCAACAGTTTGATTATGTTATCAAAAATTATGTTCTCTTAACTACATAATAAATCATTAAATATTACTAACTTCTAAAATTTTTGTACAGTTCCCTCTATTGTCCAAGAGTGCACGTCTTCAGAAGCTTGCGGCCACTAATGATGACAAT